AAAAAAAAAAAAAAAAAAAAAAAAAGCCAGCACCAATAGTTTCATTAAGTGTATAAATAAATCAATCACAGTGGCTTATATGCCAAAGGAACAAAACCAGCCATCAGGGTAAGACAGGAACCGAATACATTATGGTGAAATTCTGCTGAAATTATGAAGTGACTTAAATGTAGCACCGAAGAGATTAAGGCGTTAAGAGGTGACTATGGTGAAGATTAATTCTGGCTGCCTCAAGTCATCAGATGCATCTAAAAGCCTGAGACCCAAGCACGCTGCGGAGGGACAAGGTTTCGAGGGCTGCATCACATCCTTGGGTCTGTGCTTGAAGCCGCCAGGAAGTAACACATGTTCAACAGGAGACAGGACTTTTATTTTAGGAGAGGCAAGTAGGTTAAGAAGAGAGTCTTAAATTACATAGAGGTCAAATGCATCTACTTATCTTCAGTACCTAAATGAAAGGCCTCTGCTGCAAGAGTAGCTGAGCAAGGATTGTTTCTCTGTGCTCACTTCAGAAATACGAAATTAATATGTTCATTTTGAAAAGAGGGAAATCCTCCCTTCCTGCCAAACCTTTGAAACAGCCTCCGAGTTAATCGGGACCGACAGGTAGAATTACTGCAAGGAGAAGAGAGAGCCCGGGCCAGCCCCTGCAACGAGGAGCCCTCCTGCCTGCCACACCACCGGGCTGCCATTCATGACTTTTATTTATACACTGGCAGCATTTAGGACTCCTAAGGACAAAACCCTTTTACTGAAAGATCAGTTACCAAACACAGTAAGAGACATTTCCTGCTCCAAAAATGCTTAGAAACTAGCAGAAAGCGAAAGAAACTGGTTTTAATTTCTGTTCAACACATGGAAACTGAGGTAGAGGGAGACATGGTGAGACAAGAAGGGCACACAAGATGTGCCTTGCACATCTGGGCATCGGTCACAACTCTCCCAAGTCTCAGCCCAGTGCCTCATCCCCAAAACTAGCTCCCCCTTCCCCCAAAAGCTGGGTTTGCCAGCTCTGCTGGGCAGGAGAAAGCGGTCTCAGCTTAGCCTGCAAATACAAGAGCCTCCTTTTCAAAAATACACTCCGAGTGCAATGAGGTGGAAGACACTCCTGAAATCATGGACTTGAGTGGCAGCACAGGAACTGCTGAGCAGAAACTCATCTAAACCCCATCTACCCTGAAACCCCCTAAACTGCCTCACACCAGGGCTCTCTCTTCAAGGCAGGCAGGTACGCAAGCTGACAAGATTCGTCCCTCCGCACTGTCAGGGAGGCAGGACAGCCTCAGTAGGCTGCGAGCCTAAGCCCATGCTGTGCAGCACAGACCTGACCTCGCCAGAGTGGCTGCAGGAGCTGGTGGGAGCCGAGGACATCTGTCCTCCCAGAGGCCATTCAGTACCTGGCAGCAGCAAGTCCTGGACAGAAACTGCTCCTGTGGGAAACAACTAGAACTTTACAGCGAGAAAAAGCAAAAGGCTTTTTCTTACAGAGCAGTCACTTGCTGCAATCACACAAGCGAGAGCATCGCCTTGGAGCAGAGCCAGGAGAGCTGAGATAAGGTTGTGCCAGTGCAAACACCTCCCCTCCCTGAGCAGCACCCGGCTCTGCCAGGGCTGCCCTTGTTTCAGGGGGATATTCGTGAAGCAAAGTACTCCACGTGAGGAACATTCATACTGCCACAGTTATGGTCTGACAGCGGTGCCTTTTAGCTCAGATACAGCAGCCCGTTTGGGGTTAAACTCAGACTTACTCTTGATGTCCATTAAGATATTTTCCAAGGCTCTAGGTCCAGTTTCACGTGGGAAAATGTGCCAGAATGAATCAAGCTCCTCAGAAGCAAAAAGTCAGTAATTAGTATGTGGGACAGGGCATTGCAGTGTCTAAACAGAGATGCAATGAAGCGGAAAACCAGGGAAGCAGATGCTTGCAGGTCACAGAGATGAGTGCACCACCTCCAGCATGAAAAGGAAGATGTGGGGGAGTCTCCAAATGGTGGGCTGACATTACAGTGAGGGGAAAAGCAATTTCTTTTCTTTCTGGAGCATAGTCATCAATGGAGCTGTTGGCACTGAGAGTGGGGGGAGTTTCAGATTGATGGGCCTGGTTTCAGATGTTGCAGCACAGGGCGTATCTGCTCCTTCAGTAGTGATTGGGATTTGCTTTGTTTCTGAAAACAGAGCCAATACCGATAGATGAGACGAAAACCCTTTCAGGGCCGTGGCAGGCTGGAAGTGCCAGCACTGTTTCAAGATGAACCTTGCAGGATCCCGCAAGAAGAGCGCCCTGCCAGCCAGATCACCTCCCTCACACAAACCCCTGGTCCTCTTGCAGGAAAATCTAGCTACAGGGCAGATAAGGAGCTGCACCACTGAAACTGGTGCCAATGTCCATGATTTTGTTCTGAACCCCATGATTTACAGCATTTTTCTTAGAACTCCTGCTGACGGAAGCATGCTATTGCATGAGCCATTTGGCACGCTGGAATCATGGAGCTAGTAGTGCCACACAGCCCCAAGAAGAAAAAAAAAAAAAATCCACACATTTTTATTTCGTGAAACAACTAATTTGAAAGTCCATTTTATGATGTTAGGAAGCCAAGTGCTCTCGCTTTCCTTGCCCAAGACAACAGAACCCTGAGAGATGGATCTGCAGAGCCGCTTGCACCTCTCCTGTCGGGGGACTGCAAAGGTGGCAGGGTTTGATGATGGGACCTGAAAGCCAGATCCCTCACCCAGCCCATTTACCACTGTGAGCAGACACGGGGAACTCCTCTGTGGGAACATAGGGAACGGAAGTTTTTAATTTTATTCCTTCCTGGGGCTCCATAAATCTTGCTTCACAATAAACCCATCAAAATCAACTGAGCCATGAAGCAAATGGAAAGGCCCTGGGTGGAGCAGTTCATTGTGTGTGTCAGGGCTGAGGGAAACACTGAAGAGTCTGTTTAGCAACAAATAATCTTTGTCAAGCTAATCTTGCTATCTTCCTCAACCCTCTTATTAGATTTACTTAAATATATTGGGCAATGCAGATTGTTTGGCTTTCTCTTGCTGCAATAAGCTATAGCCATTTTATCTATCTGTCTCCCACCTACAGACAGACAGGTCTGTCTGTCCTAAGGACAACATTGTATCCTTTGCCAAATTAATATTAAGGAAAACTAGAGGTTTTAAGGGGTTAA